GGAGCATCACTTTTAGTAACATATGTATAGGGCTCCCAGACCCGAATGGCATTCAGGATCCAAACTTCTAAATTGCATTCGGGAGCTCCCGAATGCCATTCGGGTCTAGGAGATTCAGCTTTAGTATTGATATATGTATGTGGTTTTCTGTGATATTTGCAAGGAACATTTGTAAACTCATCCGAAACTAACGGAAATTCGTATTTCGTTCAGATTGGAAACCTGAACCGAATTAAATTTCGGATCCAAATCCAGAAATAACAAAATATCCGAACCAAACTGAGTTTTTGCGCAGCTCACATGTCTAATGTGAATTGCAACTATGTAAAGTGCTGCACGAATTATTTATTTACCTCAGAAAGGAGGTGCTTTAGAGGGGACATTGTTGCATTCTAGAAATTAATTGATTGTGAGTGTAAAGCCAGAAACGCCTTGTTTACTCTTAGGCCTCTGAAAAGGACATGTGGGCACAATTTCGGGTTGGAGGAAATGAGGTTTAATCTGAAATTTCGGTGAAGCTGCTTTATGGGCCGGGCAGCAGAAATGTGGAAGTCCAAGAACTCATCAAGGTGTGAAATCAGCTGGTAGGATTAACAAATTTAAAAAAACCTTCTAGATGTGTTTCTCGCTAAGCACGCTATATACCGCAATATGTATACTCAAACAAATTGACACACAGACACCAATACAGAAGCACACGTAGGTTTGACTGTGTATTTTTCCAACCTCATATACTCTGTAAGTATGTATCTATATGTTCCTTTCTGAGGAAAGTACCATTTTGGACAGTTGTCAAAGGAACAAGTGTTCCCATTGGAGGATTTCCACTCTATTTCAGTTCTGGTGGCAACAGAACATTTTAGATTTTCCCTCACCTTCCTTCCTAGCAATAGCAGGCAAAAGGACAAATATAGAGAATAAATTTTAGGCTTGAAAGAGATGCCCCATGTTCACCAAAGCACCCTGTAAGGATTGATGGGCTTTTCTGTCCCTATCTGTCAACCTTTAAATACACTCAGACAGGCAACAGCTTGCAGAAACAAGACAAGGTGCAGGTTGTGTGGCACATTGAGGTCAAACAAGCAAGAGGTCAGGACTGGGGACAAAGAGTTATGATCAAAAAACAGGTGGAAGTTGTAAACAGGTATTAAAAACTGAAACAGAGGTCATGGGAACAGGAGCTTGGGGACAGAATCTCTTTGAGGGCTTTCAAGGAGTTTCTTTATTGCAATGAGCAGTGATCTCTCTGCAGTGGGCCAACACCCCCCTGCTGAGTCAAACCTATAGCTCTGCAATCAGCAAAGCTGACATTCACTGTTTGTTAGAGAGCTTTACAAAGGGTCCATGTCAAATCTCTGCAGAGAGATCACTGTTTACACACAGTGAGCAAGGGTTCCTCTGTGCACCAATCTGGCAGGGAATAGGCCTTTTCTTTCAGGCAAAAACTATTTTACAAAGAAAGCAAACCAGACCTTAAAGTCTCCTCCTAATGCATGCCGATACATGCCCTAAAAATACTCCTCCAGATGCATTTTGTCTTAGTAGACTTTTCAATGGATGTGGTCTGGTGGTGTTATAACTTTGTAAGGATTAGACAGCCAATAGCCAGGGCGCTTTCCATTTTTTATTTGGCAAAGAAAAGTGAGGGGAGAGGCCAGACACCAGGCATTTGTCCTGGGGGTCAGTAACAGAGAGCTCTAGATAGTACTAGAGGAGCATAGCACACATTTCTTTTCTATGCTTCTCAGCGCCATTTAGTATTCATAATTTTATATTATTATATGGAAAAAAATGAAAATGCATCCCCTTGTATAGAAACAACTAAAGAACATTTGTTTGGCATATATCTGCACAGAATGAACTTTCACAGATATTTGCCGGGTGAATGGCCCTGCAAATACTATATACATAGAACACATAGTGAAAAAGGAATTGTTTTATTTGTGCACTTCAATTTCTGTAGAGAAGCAGTAACAGCAAACTCTGTCTGTCCTAATAGAAAGACTCATTAAGGGACCATTCACACCAAAATCAGACGCATTTTTAAACTCTGTTGATTTTTGTTGCATTCCATTGCATTGTGTTGCATTTTTTTAAATGTTTTTTTTTATTTATTATCAATCTTTATTTTAATTAACATGTCCTGAACAAACTTTTACATATTTTATATAATTCAGTTCTGTTTTTTAGCATTGACATCTGTTTTGGACACATTGGGGTTGATTTACTAACCTTATAAACACACCATGAACGTGTATACACCTCTGCAGTGTGTTCCCTCCCAGCATGATCTATGGGTGGAATCTAAACACCTTTGTAATGTGTACACACCCAGCAGGTGTGTTGTGCAAAGCCCTGAATGAATTCCAAGGTGATGTTGGGTAAATTAGCTCTATGTTGTGTTGCTTGCGTTGATGAATGCAAGGAATGTAAATGCATGAGCTAACCATTTTTGTCTAAACTGTGAAGCAGCATTATATATGCATCATGTGCATGATTTTTCCATATATGGCATTAGTGGAAATATGCTTTTAGAGACTTTTTGGTTGATAAATACGTTTTGCTGTGTGTGTGTGTTTAGGTTAGTAAATCACCCCCTTTGAGTTACGTTACGCTAAAAAAAGAAGAGCATCGCAACGATGTGAACTGGTCCCATTCACGCCCATACATACTCATGGATTACCTCAGAGACAGTATACTTTGATGGTGCGATGTTAGCTGTAGAATTCTTCTTTTTTTTTCTCGTTAATTTGTTCTGCTTACAGAAATCAAAAGCACCCATATCTGATTCACTTTTATTTAAAAAAAATACTTTTTCAAGGTAGTTTTAGGATAGGCATGTTTTTTAATTAAGCATTTCTAAGCCTATCTTGACCTGCAAATATAGCATTCACAATATATCTGTAAAAATCATAACAAAGTGAAAGCTGGTACGGCTTGTTAAAATGTGTTCCATGTCACAGTTTGATGGAATAGGTTGTGAACATATTTTACAGTGCTGCACTGCATCATCTTAAAAGGTTATAGAAATTTGTGAAAGCACAAAAACAACCCCCCCCCCAATTAAAACTCCCATACATATCTGTATCACCAAGTATTTAAGTTGTATCCATCAGGTATGGTTCAGTAGAAATTGGCCAGTGACAGGACAGCAAATAGAACAGGCACCAATTAGGGAGATGCAAAGTATATGTTTGTCCAGCAAGAAACATTAGAGGGTACCATCTGAGACACAGTTACCAAACCTAGTTTACAGCTGCAAGAGAGTATGTGAGCAGCTTGCATAGGTATCACAAGGCAGGAGCTGTCCTACAATAAACAATGATAGTTATGCAGCTAAGACAAAATATCCCAGTGGCAGGCCAAAACACTTGAATAGGCTTTGAATGCAGACATACAAGCCAGGATATTTCCTGCTAATCAAATGATAGCTTTGCAGCTGAGACGCAGCTACAAAAAAAAAACCTTCCCAGTGAAAGGACAAAACACATTTTTACACTTCATTTTGAATTAGGTCACAATTAAATATAAGGCAGGGGTTTTCCTGCAAGCAGAAGAAGATTGAAGAGAGGTAATTTGAGAGAGAGTGCCAGAGGTAGCCCCCACACTGTATTTATAAGGTAAATGCCCAGGGGCACATCCACAAAAATATCCATACAAATCAAAAGTAGATATGTAAGCACTCACGGGACTTGCAGGGAAGATAAGTCAAAACATCAGCATTTTATTGTCAATGTTTCAATGGAACTCAGTCCATCGTTCTCAAGATGTCTTGAGAAAGATGGACTAAGCTCCATGGAAACACTGGCAATAAAATGCTGATGCTTTTTGACTGTGATACTCGTGAGTGCCTCTATATCTACTTTCGATGTATATATATATATTAGACTTGTGCGCCGTCAAAAAATGTGTTCCGTTTCGTTTTGTTCCGTTTCGTAATATCCATTTCGTAATTCGTATCCGAAACTCAATTCGTATTCGTACAAAATACGTATTTTCTTTATTTTCGGCACATTTTCGTTACTTTACGAACATTCGTTATGATGAAGTTAAAAAGCAAAAATACCTTTGTTAATATTGGAGTCGATGTGGTACTAGTTGTTTTTTTACCCGAAATACGAATTCCGTTAACGGATTCCGTATCCGAATTCCGTATTTCGGACTTTAAAAAAAACTACCATCAACTCCAATATAAATGTACTTTGCTTTTTACCTTCAATATAACGAATGTTCGTAATGGAACAAAAATACGTCAAAGGAATTTTGTATTTCCTGCCTGTGTATTGTAATGCAACTCTCAGCAGCAGCGGATCTCTATTTCGGATTTAAAAAAAAAATCTTGTCATGTTGTTCAACCTCATTTACAGGGGTAATATTAGTTCCTGTTTCAAAGAAATTCGGATCCGAAATTCGTTAACGGAATTTCGTATTTCGGATATAATTCGGAAACTGCAATTCGGATTTCGGATGCTTCCGAATTTCCGAATTTCAGGAAAATTCGTACGAATTTCGATTCGAAACGAATCGCACATGTCTAATATATATATAAACAAATACAAAACGGAGTATTGTAGTATGCGATGATACCTTTCTTATTGGACTAACAAAATATCTACTGGACTAATACGGCTTACCCATTTACATTATATATAAATATCTATAGATATATGGATATACTATTTTATTTAGCTCCATGTAAATGCATTTTTCCAAATCGGTTTTGTATTTTATTGTGGTGGGAAGTACAATAACAAATCTCAGAGTTGAATAATTTCACAAAGGCTGTCTTCATTTCATTATTCCTCAGACTGTAGATAATTGGATTCATCAGCGGTGTCCCCAAAGTGTATAACAGGGATAGTGATTTACTAACATTCACTAACCGTCCTATGTGTGGAACACCATAGTTAGAAATAAGAGTTGCATAAAATATGCAGACTACAGTCAAGTGAGAACTACAGGTGGAGAAGGCTTTCTGTTTTCCAGTAGTGGAGGGGATTTTAAGAATGTTGAATATTACATAGATATATGATATCACAATAAATATAAATGGTAGGAAAAGTATGGGGACACCAAGAAAAACCATGGCAGCTTGAACCATGAAGACATCTGAACAAGATAGTTTTAACATTGGTGAAACATCGCAGAAGAAATGGTCAATTATGTTTGGCCCACAATAGTCCAGACTTGTAAGTGTGATTGTGCTCATCAGCATTGCAAAAATACTCAATAGCCAGGAAACTCCAGCCAGTCGCATGCACAATGAATGATTCATTACAGAAAAATAATGTAGGGGCTTACAGATGGCCAAATAGCGATCGTAAGACATGACTGTCAGAAGAAGACACTCTGAACATTCTGAGAAAACAAAAACATTAAACTGGATAATGCAGTTTTCCAAAGGCATTCTCCCCACCTCATGGAGTATAATATGAAGTAAGTTTGGCACAATGCTTGTGGTTAGCATTATATCAGATATGGAGAGCTGAGTCAGAAAAAAGTACATGGGAGACTGGAGGTTCTTGCTGTAAGACACAACAATAATGATTAAAAGGTTCCCACATATTGTAACAAAGTAAATTAAAAGGAGCAGAAAGAAGACCAAAGTTCTAATGCCATGAAGTCCTTCGAATCCCAAGAGGATGATTTCTGTTATAAATGTTTGGTTGTCTCTGGTTTTCTGCCTTAAATAGAAAAAAAGGTCTTGTTATTGATATCACAGTGTTCCTATAGTGACAATAAAGGCAGCAGTTAAATCTTAAAAATACATTTAAGTACCTCAACTATTACCAAATATGTATCTTATTTGTGTATCACTCGGCCGTAGATCCTCAAATCATCTCTGAATTGGTGCTGACACTGTCCTTCCTTTTGGAGGGGGGCTACTTGTGTTCCCCATGGTCCCTGTGTGTGTTGTAAAGTAGTCACCACTCCAAGCTCGCTCCCGGGATGGACTACAATCGCAATACTTATTGGTAAACTAGATGTAAAACTGTAACAAATGTGTATTAACATACAGTATATTAATGAGGTTATTTATATCAAGTTGTGTATATCTAGCTTAACACCAAGCCACTCAAAAGTCATTTAAATGGACTTTAACCCCAAAAAGACCTAATAGCAAATAGCTAGTAGTAATTAATTCAACAGATTTGTTCTGTAATGTTGGAGAGGTTTTACAGCTTGAATAAACACATTCGTCACTTCTAACTGAAGAATTAGAGCTGAAGAAGTGGCTTAGATACTCTATGAAACATATTCAACATACAGAACTAATCCAGTTGAATTTGACTAACTGCTACTAGTTATACCATGACCAGTATAAATAAGAACCTTCAAATACATGTTAAAGAGTATTTTCTCTTTTGTTGAGAAAAAAAAATCAATCTTCTCTGGATTGTGTATTGTGTATGTAGTCCAGTGCAGTGAGGAGTGCTCAGAATTGTATGTCGGTAAAAACAAAACAGCAGCTACACCAGCGTATGGCACAGCATAGAAGAGCCAAACCCTCTGGTATGCATATAGTTCACCATTGAGTTTAACTAACTGTGTGTACAGAGAAGCTGG